AGGTCGTCTTAAACACCGTGTGACTCTGGAGTACATAGGCGAGACAGTGGGTCCTCTATGTATTCACATGAAAGAGCACCTAGTCGGTAAAGAGAGATGCACAGGTATTTCTCACGGAGTGCTAAAGCATGCGAACAAACTTCAAAGTTATAAAAACAATCTTAGCGCATAAATCCCAAACCCAGCCCGTGAATGTTTGCAAGCTTTCCGGATTTACGTTAAAAATCCAGAAATGAATTGCAAAGAAGATGTCTTGCCATTGCGCGGGAACTTGCGCCTTATCAAGGCCAACTCTTTTGAGCTGGATAGCTTAGTAATCATTTGCCTATTTGGTTAGTCAGTTAGCGGTCGCTGTTGCAATAATATTAACATGAGCATTAGCGAAAGGTAAGGTTTCGGCCTTGTAGCAAAGCTAACAACCAAAACTAAGCCTTAAGACTTCTTTTGCATAGCCGCGGACACATTTGCTTGAATATTGCATGTTGTATTGCCCTTTTCAGGCCTCTGAAGAAGGCCAAACATTAACCAATAAATCCATTAGCAATCTTGCGTGGGGTCGCAATCAAATAATCCACTATTCTTCATTAAATATGGACTACTTGTAGTAGGAACAGATTCACGTGGGTTCGTCACCAAATAAAAACGCAGAAAAGGACAAGTAGTTGATTGTTTTCCATATTTCGCTTTCGACTAAAAGAATTTTGCCAGATTCCATAATGGCTTACAAAAGCTACTTTGACATATTCTTTAGAGAGTAGAATCAGATGCAGGTTAGAGTTGAGCTTTTGCATTAATTCAGGTTGAATAGATCTGGAGCGACAAGCAGGTGCAACTATTTTATGCTAACAAAAAAAACTCATAAACATCTTACATCTTATGCGATAAGGAATAATCAAGTTCATAAAGAAGTTTTTGAATGTATTGAATGAATAAATCAATGAGGTGATCACAAAGCTGTCATGCCCCACTGCAAACAATGTCCCTTGTTAAAACTCATTCCAACCTTTGTTAAAAGGGCTTAGGCCTAATAAAGCTGGCTTTCCAAAACTTCTTTCGAATAGTTTCAACAAGCGGTCCTTTAGCTTGCTTTCTACTGTATGTTTCCTAACTTCTTGGCAATATGGGTCTTTCGTTCTGCGTACAAGGCCAACGTTTTTCGAAGGCATCCAAGAAAGATTGGCATTGTAGCTTTTTTGTTCCAACATCTAGATCATAATAGTAATTTTACCTTTCGGAACTGACCTTTTGTCTATTGACAAAAATATCCTTGGGAGCTTTTGAGTCCTCTTAAAGGCTCGCTTTTGGAGATGTAAATAGCCAGTAGGCTCAACATTCTACGAAGTAAGAACTGACAAAAATAATCACTGGTAAAGGAAGAAGTTCTTGATCCTTTTTTCTTTACGAGGACGAATTCACAGTTAGCAAAAAAGAATACAACTTCTTTATATGTGAGAGCAATATAACAGACAGAAATTGAAACAATAGGTAAGCTTTTAGAAATCTTTTTCAGATTACGCGGCACAAATAATGGAAAAAGAAATGGGGAGTACAACATCTCTAACATGTTAGTCATTTATTGTTTCAGAAACATTATGAAAATGCAGTGCTGACAGTTACCAAACAATTTAGCAAAAGCCGTAACTCCTTCACCATAATGGATCTTTCTAACTGAAATTATTGTATTATTATCTGGCATACGTCAAAACGGCTCCGAAAAAACTAGAACAGAGAAAATAGCTTAGTTGTTGACTAACATGTTCAATTTTCACCGTTTCGTTCTTTTCCCCATTCCGGAGAGTTTTTTTGCGTGAGTACAATCCCTGAAACAGTTAAAGTGGTCGGGTCAAATTGTGTTCAGATTTAGAGAAGAATGTTTCATTAACATCTAATAACCTTATATTTCAATTATATTCAAATTTGTAAGGACGTTGTAGAAATTGAAACGAGATGTACTCTTTTATCAGTGCGCCAGCTTATTTTGTAGACTAAAAATAACTGCAGGAATGATATGGGCGAAACTGCCGCTCAGCTTAATTCAGCACCACCGAACATGGAACAGGGTAAATTGGAAGAAGATTGGTATGTGACTCATATCGACAGGCATCTTGAATACTATCAAGCAAAGTCTGTAATTCTAGGGACTCAGAATTTTCAAGTGTGTCACCAAGCGAAATGACAACCGATGATAAGTCTTCGCTACCTTCTCCTTACACCAACCAATCTACACCATTTCGAGTCGCTGCTCATAGTTCAACTTACGAATCCTCAGAATGTCCAGAAACAACCTCTTCCATAGGTATAGTCTGTGACTTTATAGTCTAAGAAGCGCTGTAAACTCTAGATTTTTTTCACAGTT